GCATACTTCATTGTATTGTCCAAACAAGGAGAGCCTGAGGCAGGTGTAGGGAGCCAACACATGGAGCCAAGGAGGCAGTGCCAGGGAAGAAGCAGCAATGGCGCCTGGGTCACCATGAGCTGCCAGGGGGTGATCTGGACCAGCTGGAGAGGCTTTTGGGTGTTTCTGGAAGCCTGCTGTGAGAGTGGATTGAAAGCCATGAAGAGGTCCCCGGAAGGTGTGCCTAGCTCCTAGGAAGGGGTTCCTCTTCTCCAGGTTTTGGAACTGCAGCCCATAGTTATTCCCAGTCCTGGTTGTAGGTCAGTATCCTCTATGGAGCATGCTAAGCCTTACTTCCACCCTGGTTCTGGCCCTGGAGATTAGGACTTAATGGGAATATCTCTTAGGATTCTATTGTGAACAACAGAAACCAAATCTGGCTAACTTTAGCATAAACAAACAAACAAACAAATAAATAAACAAACAAATAAATAAATAAAATAAAAACCACAAACCAACAACAGTAACAGAAATGACAGAGTTTGGTTGGAGGGGTATGAAAAAACTCTCTGAAGGGAAAGCAAGAGTGTGTGTGCTAAGGACATACTCTGGATGCCCAAGCAAGGCCACGTTAGGAAGACCCTGTATGCCCTTCTTTTATTCATTCCGTAAATATTTACTGAGCTCCTACTATGTGCCAGCTCTGTTCTCAATGCTGAAGATCCAACAGTAAGCAAAGCACAAAAATCGCTGCCCTTGTTGTAATTTCCATTTGAATGGGAGATTAAAAACACACATACAAGTGAAATATGTAGTATCAGATGATGATAAATCTATGGGGGGGGGGGAACGAAGGAGAGTAGAGAGATGGGACATACAAAGAAGAGGAAATACCACTTTTAGGGAGGGTAGTCTACAAGGTCTCACTAAGGTGGGGAGGTTTGACCACATGGCAGTGAGGAGCCAGTGAACAATTTGGAGCAGGGAGCAACGTGATGAGGTCTGCATTTTTGAGTCTCAGTGTGAAAGATAAATTGGAGAGTGATCAAAGGTCAGACAGGGAGACCTGGAAGGTCACTAAAGGGCCTGACTTGTGTGCACTCACGGAACTTTGCAAAGAACTGGGTACCCTGTAAGGAGGTTTATTGCAGAAAGACTGCCCAGTAGATTTTTTGTTGTTGTTTTTACCATACATCTTAATCAAGACAGGAAGGGATTTACCTCACAGTGCCCATCAGAATTCCGGAAGCTTTAAGGAATGCCATGAGAAAAAAATAAGGCCTTAGATTCTAGATGAACAGAAACAGATTTTAAAGCTTGCTCAGTTTCCTCCCATACTACATTTTAGCACTTGAATTTTCCCTCTCTCCTTTTCAATAAAGAACTTTTGAATTAGCCCTATCTATTTTTTTCTGGATGAAGTCGCCCCAATATCACCAATACAAATTCTGTCATCAAAACCCATTTCTCTACATTTGATCAGTCGCTCAGAAAATCCAGCCATCTAGCTGCCCTGCATAGGGGTTGCTAAATTGAATTTTAAAATGATTTCTATTAAGCAAAAACTTAACATATACCAGCTGCTGAGAGATTATAAGAGCTTTGTTTTTTCAATAATTGGAAACCTTGTTTACAGAGGACTCACAATATTCTTTGAGTGTCTTTGTGTTGAATACAAAAGAGCTTGTGTTTATCTAGGCAATGATAATCCGACTATAAAGCAAACTCATTTAAGGATTATGTTTCCTGTCTCTCACTGTGCAGCTGTCACCCTGCTCGTTCTTTCAAGCTTTGCAAAGTGCTGAGAATGTGTCCTCAAAATTAGGAGGCACTGGACATGAACCAGGTAGCTTGGCATACACACACTTCTGAATTACAGAGAAACAGTGGAGAGAGGCAGACTGAGCCCTGGTTCTCATGGGTTAACTCATGGGCAGTATTCAGTCATCACAAAGGGATTTTAAGGCGTTCAGTGCTGGCAAAGAAAACCGCAGGGCAATTTGGACAGTCCAGGATTTAAGCGAAGGGCAGCACTGTGCCCTAGCCGATGGAGTCGTTGGCACGGGTTGGTGTCTGCTCTGAAGAAGCGCCCGGGAGTGAAGGGGTATGTGTGGGTATGAAGCCAGGTGCTCGTCCTGTGGCCTCATGCTCATTGTTGAGGGGCTCTCTGTAGATTAAGAGAGCTCATGTGCCCCCCAGTGTTGTTTGGAGGCTTACATGAGATAAACATGGGAAGCCCAAAGGACATTCCTGGCACAGAGTAGCTGCTCAATAAACGATAACCTGTTACAGACATTGTTTAAAGCCTCTCCATTTTCATATGCATTATCTCATCCGATCTTCAAAAACAGCCTTATTAAAACACCCATTCTTATAATTCCAGTTTTATTGAAAATGGAGGAAAATGAGATGCAAAGAAGTGTAATAACCTACTAAGGGTCACCCAGCAATTAAACTGACAGCCGGGCTCTGCGTTTGTAATCTTTCCCTCGTTCTACAGTCAACACAGGCAGGCTCTGCTCTCAGAACAGCCCCCACCACAAATATCACGTGTTTGCTATAACACCTTACAAAAAGTTTTACCCCAAATCCTTCTTCCAGTTGAAAACCTCCTGGGACAAGGTCTTCTGTGGCAGCTGCTCAAGCTTTAGTGTGTACGCGACGCTGTCCATGTGCTGACTCTATATTGCCGACCTGCCGACCAGCTCCCAGGTAGCGCCCCGGCTGCCGGAGGAGGCCGGTCCCAGGGCCACTCTCTGAGTAGCAGAGCTGCCAGGAGATGGAAGAGGGTTTTTCTCATATCTGTGTTCTGATTGGCCTCGTGTTTAAGTCAACTGGACATATAGCCACAATTTTTCTGCTTTTTCCCCTGAGGAAAAGCCCCTTAGTATTTGTTCAGGCCTGGTACCTGGAGACACTACCAATGAGAGTCCAATTTAGAGAGTACTTTTCAAATCTTTGGCAATATTATTGCATGATTGTTTTTTATTATAGTACAATAGAGGCCCGGTGCATGGATTCATGCACAGGTGGGGGCCCTCAGCCTGGCCTGCACCCTCTCACAATATAGGACCCCTCAGGAGATGTTGGACTGCTGATTTCAGCTCAATTCCTGGGGATTAGGCCAAAACCAGCAGTTCAACATCCCCCAAAGGATACACATTGGTGTGAAGTGGTAGGTGGCCAGGGAGGAGCCTAAACCCAGGTTGGGCACCACGCCGCTCCTGCTCATCTCAGCCCTGCTGCACCTGCTGCCAATGTTGCTCAGTAGTGCTGCTGCAGTGGTGGGAAAATCTTGTGCAGCCGAAGCTGTGCTTGCCAACCATGAGCCTAGCTTCTGGCACCCATTGGTCAGCTGAGCAGTGCTCCTGCCGTGGAAGTGCACTGACCACCAGGGGTCAGCTCCTGCGTTGAGCATCTGCCCCCCCTGGTGGTCAGTGCACGTTATAGCAACTGGTTGAACAGCCAAATAGTCAAATGGTCCACCAGTCGCTTAGGGTTTTATATATGTAGCACATAGCTATATGTCAGATAACAAGATGCCGTTTCACACTTGGTGCTTCTGTTAATGACGTGTTGTAGAGCTTCCTCTGAAAGTGACACTGAGCAGGCTTCACACCTTGAAGACTGAGCGTTATGAATGCTCCCCTCTCAGTTCAGTGCTTTTCAGTATAAAATGCACAGATGAGTGAGCACATACTTAGAAGTGTCTACATGAATAGTATATGCCAGTCAAGCTTGTCCAAGCAGGATTGTGAATGTGGCCCTCAGATTCCTGGCTCTCCCTTTCTGACCATTTCTCTCTAGCTCCCTTCTACCCTTTTGGGTTCCCTGCATCCTTTGGAGGGTGGAGGTAGGACAGTACTTTGAAACCTCACCTCTTTCCCTACCTTTGAGCCCTGCAGAGAAAACTCCCCACTTGAGCCCTGGCAGGGGGGTGGGGGTGGGGGGCTCTGTTGGTTGGAACATCTTCAGTGCATCAAAAGGTTACAAGTTTGATTCTTAGTCAGGGTGCAAATGGGAGGCAACCAATCAATGTTTGTCTTTCACATCAGTGTTTCTCTCTTTCCCTTCCTGTCTCTCTAAAATCAATAAGAGGTGAGGATTAAAAATAATTTTTAAAAAACTCCCCATTTGACTGTAGACAGAAATAACTATAAATAAAACAGCTGCAGGCTCATATTGTATGGTGTCATAGCATCAGTGGAAGTTCATAACTTAATGTGGCCCCACTCTTTCCTAGTCCCTGCAGTTAGACTAAAAGAACAAAAGCTGATCATGAGCATTCCTGTTCCTTTCTCCCAACTCCAACTCGAGGAACATTGGAAAAGAAAGTTATTGTGAAAGTAGACTATTCTCTATGAGATAAAAATTCCTCCAGTTAATAACCCCAACGCAAGCGCTGTAATTGGAAAATCTTTTCTGAAATGCTTGTGGTGTTTGGTTGAATCGTAAATCTTGTCCTCTGCGTCTATATCTCTGGTGTCAAGTAATTTTAGTCATTATTCATTTATTAAAAAAAATAAGAATGTTGGAATATTGACTTTATGTGGGAAGGGACCAAATGAAAGTTATTTTTTTAACCCAGAAGCACGCCTCATCTTTATTGTAAATACATAATGAAACAAGTGGGTGAAGATCGAAATAAGTGCTTATGTTTTATTCATGCTAAAAATATTCCTTTTATCCTCCAGGATGAAGCCTTATAATATCTTGATAAATTCCCTAATTCTAAAATAAGCATCACTTTGTTTCCTTTGAAATTCTTTTATTGGATGGTTGGGTTTGGATGAAGAAAGGAGCCTAAATGCTTAGAGCAAATATGATGATTCTAGAACATTCCTACCCCAGACAGGGGAATGTGTTGGTTAACTCCACAGATTCATGGATCTCTAATTTTGGAAACAAAAACTGTAATAACATTACAACCAGGACTACAGCTCTGTTTGTATGAAAAGCATTTTTATCTATCTGATTTTCATTGAAATGCATTATTAATATTTTTTCTTCTTTTAATATAGGTGGAAAACAGACCAAAATATTACGGAAGAGAGTATGTATTATGCTATTCTTTGTTTTAATAATGTAGTAAGTAGTCAATTCATATGTCATTTAACTATAAATATTAAAAAGCTCCTAATATAAGGTCTTCATCAAATCTCCACTGTGCAAGAGTCTAACAAGAACGATAAATGTAATGGGACCACTTGGTACTGCATTTTCTTTCTAAGACGCAGGTGCTTGGCTCCTGTGAATGTGGGAGGGGGGGTGTCTCCTGGTGCATACACCCCTCTCCACAGAGGCAGCCGCTGAGGGCCAGGCAAGTATTTGAAACGTGAGGCAGCATTTTCCATAATTGAGACTATGTGTTTTATTTCACTTTGAAATTTTTAACGAGTTAATACCTTCTAATTTGGGGAAGTTGGCAAGTATGGGACTCTAGATGGTGCACAGCACCCATCAGCTGACCCTGAGCGAGACCATGTGCCCTTCTTCCCTCCTCCCAGCCTCTGGCCTCACTTCCTTTTCACAAAGTTGGGGTCGTGAGACACACACGTCATGGGTTTCTGAAAATCCATGCATAGAGGGGAAGAGGAGCCACAGACTGAGTCCTTGGATTCACAGACCTGTGATTTCTTTTGTGGAACAATTGGATTGAATTTGGTTCTGACACTGCATAGGCTGCTGCTCACCACTTAAATACATCAAGCCAAGGTCGTGAAAACTTACTACTTCCAGGTTAACTGCCTATTGGTATATTTCCCCACCCCTGAAAGTGACATGGGGCAGGGGCATCAGGTCCCTGGGCCTCTGTGTGTGCCTTCTCTTCAAGCCCCTGCCCTGCCCTACCCAGGCCACAATCAGTGACATGGTCAGACCGTTCTGGACATCCCAGCCTCCAACCTCCTGTGACACCCGCTTTTGTCCCTTCTGAGTCTGTTGTGGGAAACTCCTGATGCCCAGTGTCCCTTCTGCCCCTCCCTCTCCTATTCTCAGGGGCCCAGTATCAGGTCTCTTTGCTCAGGCTGTCTGCCCAGCCCTCTCTGGCCCCAGCTCATGCCACATCGGAGGCTTCCCCATGAGGTTGGCAGGGTCCAGTGGTTACACTCACAATCCGGGCCCCAAACCTCTCTGCTCAGCTCCAGGAGCCCTGAGAACTGATCCACGCATGCTCTGCAGGGGCCACGGGGACCCATGGACCATGGCTCTGCACAGACCCCTCCGGGTTTCCTGCTAGAACTGGCACCGTTGGCCTCCTTTGGAGCAGGAGGGTGGCTCTATGAAAAGCAGTGCTCCAAGATCATGCACTGTCCCCCAACTTAATCTTTGCATTCCTGGTGGGGGGGAACCCCAAACCTCCTTTCTAGCTGACTTCTCTCTCTCCCTGCCCTCTTCCAGGAAGGAATGTTTTGCAAACATATTCCTAAGCTATCACTCTCAACATTTAAAGAAACAGAGACATGTTTACTATAGCTGGCCATCCTTTCCAGAGAATGAGCCTCTAACATTAACACATGTTAACACCCACGCACCCACACACCCGGACCTGAAGTAAGCAGGTGGATAATCAACGATGTTCATTTGCAATCAGGATAATACATAGTCTCTGGTTTGGAGCAGAGATCTAAGCTGGTAATGGCTCTTGTGTTACTGTCCCTGGTTAACAAAGGAGCCATAACCTGGCATTTGCTTCCATTTTAATGTTCAGCTTGTGAGCAAAAGCAACAGCAGAAAGCCAGGTGGTCTGCGGGTTCATTGTGTCTGGCCTCCTGAATGCTTACGGTGGGTGTGGGTGCGTGCTGAGGGGTGATAGTCACCCAGGTGGGGGAGGGGGGCAGAGATCCCGGTGGCCCCGGCATCCTTGTAGCCATCTCTGCGTGGCCCATGCTCTGTGTGTGGTCTGTTCAGAGCGTCCTGGTCTCCCCTGCCCTCAGGTTCCATGGGATCATCTCGCGGGAGCAGGCTGATGAGCTTCTCGGGGGAGTGGAGGGCGCCTACATCCTCAGAGAGAGCCAGCGCCAGCCGGGATGCTACACGCTAGCTCTGCGGTGAGTGGGACCGTGCCCACTGTTGCACTTGTCTTATGTGACGAGCGGGGGTTAAATTTCCAGGCGTGCAGCCTCCAGCAGGTACCCCATCTCTTCAAGCCTCAGCACTCTCAGGAGTGAATCAGGGATAAGACTGTGACTGTCTCACAGGATCTCTATGCTAACCAATGGGGGGAGCCACGCCCGAGCTAGGCCAGTGCCTGGCAAACAGGACACGCTCAAAAAAATGTTGGTTGCTATCATTCACCAGCCTTACTTCTAACATTGATCCCCCTCCGGCCCCGCTCCCGGCAGGTTTGGAAACCAGACCTTAAACTACAGGCTCTTCTACGATGGCAAACACTTTGTGGGCGAGAAGAGGTTCGAGTCCATTCACGACCTGGTCACCGATGGCCTGATAACCCTGTACATAGAAACCAAAGCCTCCGAGTACATTTCCAAGATGACCACAAACCCCATCTACGAGCACATCGGGTACGCCACGCTGCTCCGAGAGAAGGTGTCCCGGAGGCTGAGCCGGTCCAAGAACGAGGCGAGGAAAGCGAGCGTCACGAGTGAAGAGCACCCCACGGTGGAAAAGGTAAGAGGCACCTGAAGCGGAGGCAGGGTGTGCGTCTTGATGCTGAAAAGCCGGGTGACGAATCCTAGGTGTGGTTTGCCAAAACACTGGAGGAAACCCACCCCCACCCTAAGAACTCTCGAACTTTAGTGCTTAAGGGGACCTTAGAAATCTTCCCGTTCAACCCTCCCATTTTACAGATGAGGAAACTGAGACCCAGAAGTGTTCAGAGACTTGCTCAAACTCAGGCAGTCAGTCCTAGCACTCCCACGAATAATTATCTCTGGGTTTGTTTGGAGTTTGAAGGGAAAAAACCTTCCATTGATGTTGTATGGTGACAATAGTCACTTGTTTTTAATTGCATGAGAGGCATTACGGGCTCTGTCTACTAGTAGATGGCACCCAGCTGGCCAAACCCATGCTGTTTGTGGCGGCTTCTCTGAGGACCATGTGCACACGTGCTCGGTGGACCTCCTAAAGGTGGTCTTACCTGGGTGGCAGCCCGTACTGACACTGGTGAGCCTTGTGGTGATGCTGGCTGCCTCCCAGAGGCTTAGACAGACAGACTGCCTTTTGCCCCAAAGAAAGAGAACAGAAATGTTCCCCAGGTGAGCAGTCAGGCTGGATATTCCTGCAGGAGGTGGTAGGAGGATGGGATTTTTCTCTCTGGTACCTGGCGGTGAGTGCGGAAGGCCGCGGACAGTTTGCCGGTGGGCTTTTGGATGCTCCCCTTTTGGAACCATCTGCTTTGCCTGGTCCTGTCTGTCCGCCACTGACAGAGAGTGACAGGTGCAGAGAGAGCCTGGTGCAGCTTCGCAGGGGAGCTGGGGTGGGGCAGATATAATAAGGGGGCAGAACCCTGGCACAGCTCCTTCTGGTGGTCACTCCTTAATTAAACCGGAAGGGAGTCCCTGCTACCCCTGTTGTCCAGTGTTAGCCAAAAGCAAGGGACCCTCAGGTGGGCTGCTGGGCTTTGGCTTTGGCAGTGGGGATGCACCAGAAGACAGGGAGGGGCTAAGGGGGCAGCACGTCCTATTGGTAGACTGGGTGTGATTTCAATTGATTTCCTGATTGAGTCTGAGCACCTTGGAGAACCTTCCCAGAATCACATTGGTAGAGCAGCTGGCCAGGGGAAAAAGTCATTTGCCAGTTTCTTTGGATCACGCCAGTGTCTCCAGAGCACCTGCTTATTTTGTGTTTTTAGTTTTTTCCCAAATAATTGACTTGGGACATGGTGGGGTTTCTGATTGTTTGCCTTTTAATGAAATAGAGACAGGACTTGAGTCCCAGCGTTCAGAGTTTGTTCTGGTCGGTCTGGGCAAGAGCCATTTCTTAGTCTATTGGGGAAATCTGTTCCAAAGTCATTTCGAAAAGAAAATCTGGATGATGACCTTCCCGGTGTGACAGATTGGAGGATGAATTGTGAAATAAATCTCCGAAGCCGTGTTGATATTTCTGCATCGGAGAGTAATGCCACCCAGAAAGCAATCGGTTACAACTGCAGGCTGGGCTCGGGCACGTGTTCAGGAGGAGAGAGGCATGGGAGCTGGCAATGGGGAGGAGACGGCAGAGCCTGGGTATTGGGGTTGTTATTTCTCCATCCTTTCTCCCCTGAGAAGGAAGTTCCGTCAGTAGATGCCTGTCTCTCTAGATGATGTTTTTATAAGGAAACCTGTGTGACAAAATACATCTCTCACTCTATCAGGGGTGGGGAGCTCTTTTTCTGCCAAGGGCCACTTGGATATTTATAACATCACTCGAGGGCCATACAAAATTATCAGCTTAAAAACTAGCCTGCCAAATTTGGTTAAATGTTTCATTAACTCACCCCTCATGCCTTGGCAGGGCCAGACCAAATGATTTTTGCAGGCCTCATACAGCCCGCAGGCCAGACATTCCCCACCCCTGATATAGATCATCTTGTCTGTGTTTGTTAAATTTAACATTTGGAGGAAATTAATAATCAGGGTACTAACCCCTTTGCACAAGCCACCAGGAAACGTAAGGAGATGCTGAAGGAAGACGCCCACACGCAGGGAGGGCTGGCGGACAGGTGTCAGTGTGTGGACTTGCTTTGACATGAGTGATGCAATGTGTGGCTCTCCGTGGGGCACTCTGAACACCAGGCTGGTCACCCGCTGGGGGTCGCTCATTCTGCTGGTGGGCTTGTTAAGTACGTTGGTACAGATACGCCCATTTCTCCGGGATCTGTATTGACAAGGGGAATTATTGAAAGTCTCAGTCTTGCCAGAGATTCTATTTCCCTGCAGGGCAGGGCAGTGCACTGTTGCCATGGAGGCAGTGACTAGAAGAGAGGGGGCATGAACTTGAATGGATTGGTGGGGAGGTGCCGGGGGCCCCTGTGTGCTTCGGTCTTGGTGCGTCTTGCAGGTTTTAATGAAGGACGTGTGTGCCTTTTCTAATAGTTCTCTGGTTTGGACAGCCTCGCATTTCATTTTCCAGAGTTCTTAAATGTGGTTCGCCCACTTGTTTTATTGATCATTTCCAGATAATCCAGAGAGACCGGATTCCCTGTAAATCTGAGAATATTAAGTGTTAATTAGCGGAAAGTTATCACCTCCCCCTTGGATGTGAGTGGTTTCCAGATGTCTCTCCTGTCAAGGTGGCCGGCAGTGACCTGGCCTTTAATAACTTAGATGAGGTAGAGCGATGGGGAGGGTGCAGATGAAGACAAAGTGGTGGTAGTTAGCCAAGAGTGATCTGTCTTCTCTCTGACTCTTTTTGTAGTTGATCTTAAAAACATTCTAATGTATAAAGGCCAACATTTGGCACATTTGATTAGAATGCCATTGCCCAGTGTAATTTCTTTCATGAAATGCATGTCAAAATTTATCCCATAAATGTATTATCTACTGACCTGCAAACATGGACCCTAAGCAGTCTAAGAATCACAGGGTTTAACACTGGTTCAGACAAGCCAGGGTGGGAGGTGGACCAGCAGGTGGCAGGGGCACTAAAGAAGCGGCAGGCCGGCCTGTGTGGCTCAGTGGTTGAGCATCGACCTATGAACCAGAAGGTCATGGTTTGATTCCCAGTCAGGGCACATGCCCAGGTTTTGGGCTTGATCCCCAGTGAGGGGCATGTAGGAGGCAGACATTCAATGATTCTCTCTCATCATTGATGTTTCTATCTCCCTCTCCCTTCTTCCCTTTAAAATCAATAAAAATATTTTTTTGAAAAAGAAGTGCCAGAAACATCCACCACAGCCAGCCCCACCCTCCCTAGCCCTTGTTCCCGGGCTGGCCTCCCCACTGGCCTGTGGTCCTCAGACCTCCTGGGGCCCTGGCCTCCCTCCCTCGGCACCTGCTGTCTGAAATGCCTCCCCTCCGGCGACCTCCTGGTTCCCTCCCACTCACCCTTTAGAGTCCAGCACAACCTCTTTAATAAAACCCGCTGGCCCTCCCTCCCCCTCCCCCGCCTGCTCCAAAGGAACCGCTGCCGTCTCACAACTACCCCAGCGTTTTACATAAGATCTCCGTGACACCTGACCGTGCTGCCTCCAAGTGGTTGATTAGGCCAGTGGTTCTCAAAGTGTGCCCCTCAGGAGCCAGCCACATCAGCACCACCCAGGAGACTGCTGGGACAGGCACCTTCTCGGGGGGTCACCCCCACTCCTGGGGTAGGAAGCCTGGGGGTGGCACCTGCCAGCCTGGGTGTGAGCAGGCCTCCAGGTGGCTCTGGTGCACACATGCAAGAGGATGGTGAGGCAGCTCTTTTCCAGAAGGCTCCGTGGGTGTTTCCTGGGGGGGGGGGGGGGGGGGGGGCGCGCTTGGTCCTGAGGGTGGAGAGGCTTTGGGACTTCACTCAGGGCAGTTGATTCAGACACGTGTTGCCCATTGCCCTGCCCCAACCAGAGGTGCCACATTCCTTTGCCAAAGAAGAGCCAGCGTGGTTCATGCAGAAAGCCTCAGGGAGCTGAAAAAGACCCTGGCAGTACAGGGTCAGGAAAACCTGTAGGCTTGCTCCTCGGGAGGCCCCTGGGAAGTAACATGTGACTGACATAACCGGCCTTTTCCCGGGAGTCAAGGATGAATGACGATAAGCATAACGTAGCTAGTGAGTGTGACAGGTGCAATAATGGCTCTGCCCATCCATCTCCCGGCTCACGCGCTGGTCATAAAACGGAATGGGAGAGAATGCTGTACGAATGGCTCTGAACTTAGATTACATTTGCTCATGAAACCAGCCTTCCCGAGCGTTACCTTGCATCCGAATCCGCCGATGGTGCGGGATTTATCATGCGGCGAGAAAAATAGCTGCTCTGGTTAGGTCGGGGCCTCTCAGACTGGCTGCAGGTTAGACTCGGCCTGGGAGCTTTTAAGAAATACCCATGTTCGCCCTTCCTGGCTTACTGCATCAAAGCTCCCTCTGGAGACCTTCAGGAGGTGCGGTTTTTAAGGTTCCCCAGGTGACTCCAAAGTTCTCAACCCGGGTTCGAGGAAAGGTCAGAAGGGGAAGCAAGGCTGTCGGACACTTGAGGGAGCAGTTTCTTTTAAGGTCACCTGCTCCACCTCCTGGCGCGCTTTTGTTCTTTCTGTGAGCCCTCTGTGTTCTAACGGAAGACCCAGCGTGCTTTCCCGCCCGCTTCCTTCACTCAGTCCTCCAGGAGGACACTGTGGAGAGAGTGGGTTTGGGGGCGAGGGGGTGGGCTTCCGAGATGGGGTCAGAGGATTGCTTTGCTCCTCCTTCCTGGCTGCTTCTCCAAAGCTGTTGGCTAAAATTGAAATGATGGGGGGACAGTGACTGTGGTAAGAGAGAGAGACTTCTCTGAAACAAGGAAACATGGGTGTCTCTTCCTCAAGGGCCAGCCAGTGGCTCTTCATGATGCTGTTTCCAGGGCTATGGTTCTCGCCCTTGGCCGCCCCCTGGAATCGACTGGGGAGTGTTCAAAATACAGATGCCTACACTGCACCCCCACTGCCCCCCACCATTGCTGCTGAAAGTCAGACTTAACGACTTGGGATAAGGCCTGGGCGTCTGGGTTTTAGATGCTCTTGGGT